GACTTAAGTCGCTCAATCAGGTCTGGAATGACATCAGGAAAATCACGGGCACTTGATTTTGCCAGTTAGTATTTGTCATGTCAAAACAACGTGACACTGCCTTGGCACCTTTGATAATGCTATATATAGGTTCAACGATGATGCGTAAAGTAGGCAGAATATGGTAAGCATTGTGCAACAATTTCAGTCGTAGGCCCAACGAATGAACTATTATAAGCCATCGATAAAATTCTGCATTAGTCTGCTAAATTCTCGCAATCCTGATAGCCTAGTTACAGAAAGAGGCTATCAGCTGAAATTCCGGCAGACAATGACAAAGGAAAATAATTTTCAACCTGCTTTCCAGACCTCCTACCGTGACTTGCCAATATTCTATAATTGGTCACAAGGAGGATATAAACATTCTGTTACCAGGCCAAAAACATAAATTGTGGAGGACTTTTGAGAAGAGAAAATAAAATTTAACCCATTTTTCAGACTTCCTACAATAGCTCTATAATTCTGACAGCATGGTTACAAAAAGAGGCCAACTGCTCAAATGGTGGCAGACGTATAATAAAAGTGGATAAAGTTCAACCGACCTTTCAGACATGCTATAAAACTTTGCCAATGTTCTATAATCTGGTTACAAAGAGGATATAACTATGTCAACAAAGAAATTGTGGAGGGCGCATGACAAGAAAGAATAACTTTCAACCTACTTTGCAGACCTCTTACAATGACTTGACAATATTCTATAATATTGAAAACCTGGTTACAGAGAGCATATAAATATTCCAGCTCTAGGCCAACAAAAAGAATTGTGGAGGGCACATGACAACAGAGAATAACTTTCAGCCTACTTTGCAGCCTGCAATAACTTGTCAATATTCTATAATTATGAAAATCTGGTTACAGAGAGGAATATTTCAGCACTAGGCCAACAAAAAAAATTGTGGAGAACGCATGATACAGAAAAGTCACAGTTGCACGACCCTCAAGTTGGATGGACAAACAACGCGTACACAAAGTGAACGCGAACTTACTAGTACATACTGGATTCGCCCACTCTTAATCTTTGAGGCGGGGTCCGAAGGTCAACGATACAGTCAAAATGTCGACAGTGCTAGGAAAGCGAAAACAGACGGTCCAAAACATGGTTTACACGGGTACTTTTATTTTCATCTCTTTCATTCCTTTCCCTTCTAACCAACCCGCTTGATCGGCCCTATTAGTGTTCGTTGCCTACACAGCGACCCCCACAGACTGCTAAACACTCCCCTCAGACATCGCTTGCGTCCAATCCGCATTTCTTCGTCATAGATCGCGGATTAGGTGTGTCCACAGGCGTCGGATACATCTTGTTCGCTATAAGAGAATGCGGAGAGTAAGATCGTCGAGGAGGGTGTCAGTTTGGTTGTGCAGAAGTTGCGCGTACAGTGGGCGGAGTCAAAGGTCTGTTTTGTTTATTTCTGATAGTCATCACTACTTATCACATCATACAACCCAAAGAACTTCGAGAAAAAGGTGACGCAAGAACTAAGAAAGAACCAAAGTCCCGACCACCTCCACCACATGTCCCACACGCCCCTCCCGTCATCTGCACCATCATCATCTCCGGCCTCCCTGGGAACTCACGATCGACTCCAAAGTCCTACTATGAAAGAAAATCCGCAAATACGAAGGCGCCAAAAAGATAGATTGGCCACTAAGAAATAAAGTGGGGACCGGCTACAGATACTCCCTTCCTTGCACACCCGACTTTAGGCAACGCTATACGGTAACCAGGTTAGTCACCGTCAGTCTTGTCGTGGACAACGTTGGCTTACCTTCGCTCATTTCCCTTTCTGCAGGCTGGTTGCAACGGAACTGATGACAACGCGTAAGTCTCTTTTGACGTGATGCATCTTGTTTGCATCTCCTCGTTACTTACCACGCTGCTCACCCAACTTAGATTTCCCTCCGTCAACGTGTCCGGCACGTTTGTGCGCGACGTGGAACGTATCGGCTCGACACCGTGACTGAGAGCTTGGATGGGCGGGATAGGCGCTGAGAGGGTGTGTGTCGTGAATGTATGTGTTGGTTCTGCAAAAAGTATGTCAAGTTCTCCTCGAACCAACAATGTTTACTGACCTCCGTTCAAGTTCTTTTGTCGCGCCTAACGATCGCCCTCGCTGGCAACGAGACTCTGGAACGTTCGTCAGCGTTGTTGCGCTTTTGAAACACCCACCTAGCATTTTCTACAGCGCCGACCTCGTTTGGTGACCTACAAAAGGTAAGTTATCGTAAACAAATCGCGATAGAAACGAACTAACCTGTTCCTGAAGTTTCGTGATGGACGTTGGACGCCTGAAATCTTTCAACGTTTCCGACCGTACCACCATGCCCTGTACCCCTCCTGGCTCCAACACAGCGTATCATCGTCCACCAAACGGATCCTCCAGCTCGTCGTCAAGCCTTCCTACCGTTGAACCACGCCCTGCCCCAAGACGACGTATCATCTTCCGCGAATCGGTCACACGACTTCCTAGACGAAAAAATTCAATGCGCCGCATTGCCGCCCCAAGGGCCAGCCTGGTTCTCTGATACCAATGTGCCGCGCTCGAAAGGCTGCATCGGATGCTGGCGTTAATATCCGAAGGGGTTCCGTCTGAATGTTGAGCAGGAAAGATGCGGAGAGGGTGATAGGAGGGTGTAATGGCGTAACGGTGCGCGCTGGGATGGCGGAAATGTTGGTTTTGGATAAGCAGAGGAGGAGGAAGATGAGGAGGATCGAGTTGAGGATGAAGGTCGTGGACAACGAAGGGGAGGATGAAGATATATATATTTGAGTCAAGATTTAGATAGTATATACAATTTTAAGAGAATTCAAAGGAAAGTAAGGGCAAGGAAAAACGACTACCAAGGGGTCCATTACAAACGGAAACGGTAGAGCCATCAAGAAAGGTGGATCCGGGGTATTATAAAACGAACGGATGAGCAGGTGATTCTTGGAAGGATTTTGCTCAAGGACATCTTCAAACGTTGCAGGGAACTTACCTCAAAGTGGTTCACACTCGTTTTCGAAGTCCATTTTACGCCTTCCTGTCATCCACCTCTTACCCCCGTTATTAAAGAGCACACCATCGCCCTCTGGATAGACATGAAACGTCAGAAGACCAGTTCCGTCAAATCCGAACCCTCAGAGGGTGTAATGGGCAAGGTCGTTGGATTGACCTTGGTGAAGACCACCCCTTCCGGTGTAATTATCAGATTTACTTCGTTTTCATAGGAAATGGCTTACATCAAAACCCAATGGGCTATCTGGTAGCCCTTGCTCTCGACTGTGGCACTTTGATGTGCAAAGCAACGCCCAATACACCCTTGAGCTTGGTCGGCCTTCTGGCGACGTGGTCTGTTACTCCGAAGCGCAAGCAGCATTGGGATTAGTGGGTTATAAGTGGGACCAGATTTGGTGGACGTAGCGCGGGCGACGGCACACATGCGAACGCAAATAACATTTAGGTTACCAAACATGGCGGGTGCATGACTACGATGGAAATTTGGGGATAGAACTCAATGACCAAGATTCCGAAGGCGTAGAAAGAGAACAGCGACTTGCTGGCTCGAGAAATGATGGGTACAGGTGCCATTCTATGGGTGGAAATAGTCGGCAACCTCCTTATTTTGATGTAGAACCCCTTGAACCTCCATGTCGAAAAGCTTCATATGGAAAGGGCGGGTGGTAAGGCCGCAGATGCCTGCCTGTTTTAAAAACGAATGTTGGGGACGGACTTGAAAATGCTTGGGGACCTTGCGTCTGAAATTTCCTAGCTTGAGATTAATACGAAACGAAGTCCAGCCTTCTGATCTAATTGGCTAGCTTGTAGTATTGATTTAGAGGATGGTGGTGGGCTTAAAATTGTAGAATGTCCGTAGTCGATACATTTTCTTCAGACACAAAGTGTCCATCCATTCAAAGTACAAATTAAAGGTTTGATTTCCCATGGCGGCTCGAAGGAAATCTATTTGGTGATGTTTGGCAAGGGCGTCGGCATGACCCAGCGCATAGCTAGCATCCTTATAAATTTCTGGCCTGTCGAAGCATAGGGCCATGTGTAGTACTGCCAAAGAAGTGAACTAGATATTTCACCTCGATTAACAGGCTCTGACCGAAAACTCGTCGCAGATACCCTCGCCAAAATTGGGAGATGATGAAATCGATCTTTTCGTGCATAAGGGCGAAGGCAACCCCGAGACTTGACATTCGCTGCCCTGCGTTAGGGGTGGAGACAGAGGGAACGGAACGGTCCAGAAGCTGTCATCAATAACTTCGACCACAACCCAGAGGCCGCCGTCAACCCTAGTGTAATGGGAGGTTGGCACACGAAGGAGGATGAACAGCCCCAGCAGGCGGCGGCCTTACAAAGCGAGCATGCTTCTCATCCCATTCAATTGTAGTTCCAAAGAGCGACCATCAATTCCCGCCGCACTGCTTTATGAAAAAATCGGCCTGTCAAAGCTGCCACCTGGAGGTATGTCTCCAACCTCTCCGAAATCGTGTGTTGAAACCGTTATGTACAGCGTTCTCTCTGCTTGGAGGAAAGGGGAGCAACCACAGATCATCAAGTCCAGCTCTTCGTACAACAGCCCAGCACGCTCTAAACACGCAAAGAGGGAGAGCTAGACATCATGGGGCAGACTCCGAGTGGCCAAACATCAGCGTGAACTCGCATTTCAGATACCCATCTACTTTCAATACCCCCTCTCGATCGCGCGCAAATTCCCCTGTTCCAGAAGAGAGCTTTGCGTCCGGAAACGCGTTTAGGTTGCTTGCGCAGATACGGATTATTGTACAACAAGCGGATCTGAAGGAGTTTTCGTTAATAATGAATTTATTGCACAAGTTGAAGACTTGCAAGATTGGGGTGGGCAGATGACTTGCGCAATACTTTCACGTGTAAAACTTTCTTCGCAGAACCTGGGCTTGATGTCATTCTGCACCTCTGCGTGCGCCGCGTCGTTCTCGTTCAACACACTTTTTAGCTGCAAATATGCCGGGCCAAGACGATTACAGAGGTGGTGTACGAAAATCCAGCCACAATCTGTGCACTGAAGGTTAATTTCTATGATGCGTGGAGCAAGAACCACGCACAGGCATATGTCGCTTCTTGAAGAACCGCATGGCTTCCCAAAACCTTGGGAAGGAAGTAGGTTGTCAGGGAGACAGAAGAGAAGCAGGGCTTCTTTCATGACTTGGGAGATGAAGTGCTCAATAGGGGCGCGTTGGTGTTGGGGAGAGCGTTTAGGTAGAGGGAGACAATGGTAATACCGCTGGTGAATAAAAGTTAGCAATTTAGGTTTGAGAAGGGTTAACAGATTATATAAAGCTCACCAACATACTTGCGCGCCGAGTAGAGCTGACAGTACTAGAAATGGTACAAGTTTGACAGAGCGCTGACTCAGAACCTTGACGTTCCACCCATCTTGTACCCAATGACTAATCTTCAAGAAGGACAAGTCCAAGACAGCTGGAATGTCCGTCTTTTCACCAGGAGTGGGAGGCTTGGTGGGGAAGTTGCATTTCGTAACAAAGTAACACTGAAGCTGCTGCGATGCGGTGACGGAGATGGACCCCACGGTAGAGCGGAAAGTCTCGAGTCTGTACGTGTCTGTAGGTGCAACGCACGTTGTCCCTCCTCGCTTTCGAAAATGCGCATCATCTACGCAACACAAGGACGACTCGCTGCCGTGTGCAGAGCCCACAACGAGGAGACGTCGAGTGAGTTTTCAATGTGGCCCGAACGAGCCGGACTTTTCCACATTGAACCCAGATAGAAATTCATAGGAAAGTAGCAGGTCTTACACCAAGATGTACTTTACTGAATGTACTACATACCAATCTGAATATCAACAGAAATTACGACTCATCAGGGTTGCCGTACGACTCCTCAAGATAGATGGCGGTAAAACTTGATTCTTGGCAGTCAAGCTGGAAGAGCCGATCTTGACAGATATGAGTATGCAGCCTGTTGAACAGGTCCTCCATCCTGCCCAGCGTCCAGAAAGTTATTAGGTCCGTAAACTTTTGAAGAAATTCGTGCTGCCTGGGTAGCACGTCTCGAAGGAGGTGGTCAAGTATCTCAATAACAAAGTCAGAAAGGTTTTACAATCATATGGGTTGATCTTACGATAGTCTCCGAAAAAGCTTCCAACTTTGACATATGGGGAGCAAATCTTTTCATGAATTCGTGGGCTTCATCTTTGGGGACCCTCGTCATAATAAGTTTTCCGTCCGATTTGAAGGAGACTTCTCGAGTGAGCAGGTATGTCAATAGCTTTCGAATCGCGGGATCGACATGAGTCCCTCCCTGCCGGTTAAGCTAGATGTAAGAATTAGTGATTCCAAATCTGTTTTTTCAAAAAATTGTCCTTAGCAGACCTCGTGACCAAATTGATAGTTATTCTTGAGGGTAAAAAACCTCGTGAGAATGTGGACAGGAAAATCGCTCATAAAAATTTCTTGTAATTTTTGCTTGAGACACGCAAAAATTTGTTCGTAGGCCGAGTAGAGAATGTTGAGAGGGAAGTTATCAGGGACAGACACTCCTTCGTGGTTTCGGATCCACCAGATCACTATTTTCAGCACAATTAGCACTAGGTTAGAATTTGAAATAAAACTTACTCTTTTCTGGTGGTCTTGCCGCTTCTTCCCGACATATCTGCATCCAGGTGGCATAGATGAAATTTTGTAGCGACATATTGTTTTCAGCTGCATCTTCTTCCGCAGCCATTGTTGAACCGCTTAGGATGTTCATCCATAATCTTTGGCGGGCTTTATTTATAGAGTGCGCTAGAAAGGGGGCGCGTCTCTCGAAGATCCAGTCCTAATCACCAAAGCCAAAAAGTTGGTACTCAAATATTAAAGTCGACGGCAGCGTAGACAACTTGCCGATATGTTAGCCTCTTCAAAAGCCTGCCAAAATTCGAACCGGTATTCTAATCTGATTATGGTGTTTATTGGTTCTAGAAGTTGAGCGTTGCGGACTTCATATTCTGAATATAGAACTAGAGCTGGTTCAGATTCAAAGATTAGTATAACTACATCAACTCTGAATTCGACTTACATCCCCGGTGGATGGCAGGTGTTGAATCAACCTTATGCAGATCACAATCCCCCAAGTCAGACACATCGGAATGTTCAGAGTACCATGTTGGCTGTTCACGTACCTCAAACACTATGTCAGAAGGATCCTGACTGACTAAGCTTGCTCCTGCTTCATTTTTCTCTCGCAACGCCATATTGCAGATGTCTGCATCCCGGATCAAAGCTTTGAGGCTTACACCTCGTTTCTTGACATCGGCCATATTGAGGAAACCTCCTACGACAGCTAACCCATACTAAAAAAGAATTATTGCTAAAATAAGAAGATCATAAGATTGTCGACTCACACCGAAGGACTTCTCATGATACAGACATGATACCTCCAGGTTTGATATTTGGTAGGAATGCATATAGAGCATTTCCCCATTGAATTGGTGTTCACCCATGTTGATTGATTGTATGACCCCAATGGGCCTTGCCTGTTGCTCAGCATTAGTCAAGGTAAAAAACGTGTGGAAGGAATATTAGAGCCTCACTATGGCTTCAGCTCCTAGAGGCTGTCCTCAGGAGCACCTTATGAGATGTGATCTGAGAGGCAGTGAGTGACTTACAGTATAGAAAGGGGTGAGCCCCCATGGTTCGATCAGATAGCCATGAAAGGCCACTTCCGAGTCTGCCTCAGTTGAAAATTCTGGGCCAAAGGCCCGCTTCTCCAAGTAGATGGCTCTTTCCAAGTCGAACGGCAAATTGTTCACCCATTGCACCTCCGCCTGCGACATCATGAGCTACAATGTGATTGATAAGCAACTGAACGGCCGATTGTTCACAAGTCAGAATATTCTTACATATAGTGGCATAGCACAGCCCAGCTGCAAGCTGTTGGCGACTGAACCAATGTAGTATTTGTCTGACATGGAGTTGTGAATGAGAGAACTGGCTAATTGATGATCCTGTATATATTATCGTGACTGTTTCGTGTTCCAAGATAAAAAGCCTAAACGCTTGATAAGGTGGGAAGAGTCCGAGTCAATATGCACAAACTGTCAGACGCTCTCACAATTAAGCCCGGGCCTGCTGGTTAGCAAAGTTTACTTGGCTAATTTCTGCCACAAAGCCGATGTTTAAATAATGAATTTGCATGCGTATGTGCATGACCCAAACTTTCTGAACTGTTGGGGTGGTTGATTTCTGTAGGCTCTACTTAACCACGCTGACCACCCTTCCCTGTCCCTGACCTGCTGTAATGGTGACTAGTTGAAGTATGTAGGGAGGACGGCCAGGTTCAGAACGACGCTAGGAGATGCAATAGGTGACGTGTCTCATTTAGAGACCGAGGAAACCTGACAGGAAGCACTTCCTTTTTCTATATAGGAACTAACGACGTTAACGCAAGTCTCGACAGCCAAGCTGGCCCCAGGCAGCGGGTTCGCCCAAACATATACCCCCCTCTCTCTACCCCCTCATCTCCACCACTCTACCCGCTTCTCAGCCTGCGGACCTCAAGCACAAGTAACATAACGGCAGACTCATAAGCAAGCAGGAAGCTCAAGCACACAGCAAAAACATAACGTTCTCTTTTTCCCTGACCACGCTCGTCCCATCGGCTGTACCTGTCTTTCGAGACCGGGTACTTAGAAGACGAAACATCGCGCTAGATGGATTGCACAGATAGGCAAATGACGAGACTACCCCGCCCACGTTTTTAGATGCACCCCAAAACGGCGTTTCCGTGCCGGGCTGTGTGGGGGAAGAATCGCCGCGGGCGTGCCTCCACCAGTGCATGGGGTGATCTTAAGGGGGTCAGGTACATATGGCACTAGGGGCCTTAGGTAGTCTACCGAGTCGTAAGGTCTGACATGGGGCTCCGCCCCGATAGACTCTAAATTGGACATTAAAAAAAAAAAAAAAATGGTGACTAGTCGTCATATTCGGCGTACACCGAATATGAAGAGCCTGCGTCAGAACTCTCGTCCACATCTGGCAGATGCTCTCCTTCATCTTCCTCAGCTTGCCCATCTTGATCCGAGCTGCTATCCTCCTCATCTTCATCTTCATCATCACTATGGGCTACATTTTTGTTGAGGTCTTTGAGGTTGTGGTTGAGCTTTTCGGTTTCCGGGTCAACATCCATGTGCGCTGTACCCGTCGCTAGCGGGCTCGCACGAGGATAAGCACCGGCTGCACTATTGACATTGACGTGGCCAACACCAAGACCAAGATGATAGCGCATAACCATGTCTCTGTCAGCAAACCTAATGAATGTTAGCAGGTTCAAGAATCATAAGATGTTGCTAATTGCTCACCGCCCAACATAATACTGATGGAAGTCATCAGAATCCCTGGCAGAAGGAGAAAGCCCCCGACCATCAGCATATCGCTTTCCGATGGAAAACACTGGCAGAAGGTGACATGATCGAATGACTTCGCTAGGATCCAGAAATCCAAATGATTCCTCGTTTGCCATTGGAGGAAATGAAAGGCGTTCAAGTTCATGCCCTTCCCAACTCCCCCGGCGTTCCTGCTGGAACCATCGGACCCAAAGGAATTCGAGCCTTACTGGGAGATGACTTGAAAGACCTGCACCAATGTAGACAGCATTGACATGAAAAATCCCAAGAACCCTCGCATGTGTGAAAGAGATTGCTAAATCACTGCTCCCTAAGTCTTCCCTAGGTAGGACCATGACATCACGTTTCACTGTGTTGACGTTGATAGTATCCTGAGCCCTACGAACATCGTACGTTGTATAGTTGGTGCGCATTAGGTTATGGCGATATAGACGGTTGTATTTGAAAACAACACTTTCAGCGCTGGACACGGCGGCCACAGGCCCAGAGGTGCTTGGATGGAGATGGAGTGAGCCCAACAACGTGTGCTCTTGGAGTGCTTCTTTAAGCCGAGGAAGTAGATGTCTTGTAAGTTTTGGAAAGAAGTTCTGCGTTACAGTTAAAATATGTTTCGGTTTCGACCAACTCACCCACCTTGACCGCTGGGTCTCCGGAGCGGCTTTGAAGAAAAGTGCCTATATCTTCATATTGTGATTCAGATATACCAATATGATGGTGCTTCTCCCCAGATCTATCTAAGGTCTCCCGTGGTTTAGTCGGCAAGAGTTTTCGCTTTAAGCGCCGCAAATGTGCTTCTCGGCGTTCAATGCGAGTTAATTGGCGAATAAAGAGCTTCTTATCGGTGCGCTTATATCGTGTCTTCGGCGTGCGGTGCTCCAATTCACCCTGTGGATCAGATTATTTTCCGCCGACTATGTAGAGATGTCTCGGAGCTCACGGTTTCGGTACTATACGAATCCGTCGTCCCATAATCCCGTATGTGCTTGACATAGTCACCAAGAGAGTGATGCTTGTACGTATTCATATTGTAAGTCTTGCCCTTGAATTCTGGCTTCTGCTCGGGGTCCCTTGTACCTTTTGTTCCAGCTGGCGTTGACGGATCAGTTGACCCCATAGATTCCGATGAAGCAGGCCCTTCGCGTAACATTTGGGGCTGCGCTAAATGGGGCGATGATCCATCACCTGCATTATTTACAACACACCTCCCACTAGATCTTTTGGCCTCTTTCCGTTTCCGGGCCTGGTGCTCACGAGCAAGCTCGCGGGTGGCAAACTTGGGACAAATGACATCCGTGAAATTACGAAATGCAGCGCCGATCTTGGTTGTGAGCCCATCTAAAATATCGAGGGTGGCATCGGTATGCATTCGAAGTTTAGCGAGGCCATGCCAATGGGCGCAAAGAAATAATAGCCTTCTCACAGCGTGATCATGTTCTTTGGGAATGAGACCATCGAACACAGGAATCGCACACTGTAAAGGAATCTGTAGCTCAGATAAAAGTGGTAACAAGCCGTTTTGGAGACAAACCTGCAGAAGGTCTTCAAAGTCGTGGGCTGCCATTTTTCTCATTTCCGAAACATTCGATGAGAATTTGCGAATGGTTGCAGTGCCAAACGATGGAATCTGCCGATACCTGAAATTGCGTGTTATGAAATACAAAAGGTATACATTTCATAATCACCTTTGGTCGAGTTCATTCAGTAAGGCAGGATTGATGCTTGAGATAATCCGAAGAAGGTGTGTAAAAAGAGCTTTCCAAACACCCAATTCAAACTCATGAAGCAAATCTACCGCAAGTATACCAAAAAAATCGAAACCGAGGCCATGCAATCGTTCGGAAAAGGCATTCTTTCAAACAAATATTGGTATTTCCTTTGTTAAGGTCAGATAAAGAAATCACCAAGTTAGGGACCAAAGACTCCTGTTTCAAGATTTTCTCCACCGCAGCACTATTCACCATATAGTTTTGTTTGTAGATTATCCGCCTAGCACTAGAAATCTCGCTTCTCCTCTTTGCATTGTCAGACCGTAACAAGGTTTCGCGAAGGCGGCGGTCATTAGCAGTCCCCAGATTCCGAATAGAGGACTTCGGAACTAAACATCGCGGGCATGGGCAAATGCCTTTGTCTCGAATACTAGCCAATATGATTCTGTATAGGGTTAGATCAATCGTTACCGAAAAGTTCGAACAAATTGTCAGCTTACTTCTCAGGATAATCGGCTGCGTAAGTGAAGATTCGTGGATATAGACGGCGGAGGACACCATCTCCACATTTGACGGCAATACCATGTTCCCAAGCAGCAACAAAATCTGCATCCAAGAGGACTTTCAATTGCTCGTGGAAGAGCTCGCGGTGGCAATGGGTGTAGAATTGGCTATTGGGTCCCTTTCCCCCTGCCAACTTTGAGGCAAAATCATTGAATGAAGGTGGTAGCTAGAAGGAAGGGGGTCAGCTCGGTCATGAAATTGGACAAGTACTCTTAGTCCCACCTTTTCAAAATAGGCGACATGATTACATGAGTTAAGAGTGGGTTTTCCACGACGGTACTTGGATTCATTCCCAAAATAAAGATAAATAGGCCATAGTCTAGCATTCCCGAATGATGTTAGATGTGTTGCGTCGGACCAAAGCATAAATGCGCAGATTACGCGCTCTAATTGACAGCCAGGCTCCCGTGGTGATTGCTGGAGGTCGCTGTGGGCTCTGAGAAAAGACTGAGAAGTGTACAGCTCTCCGTGAACACGAAATTCTGAGCCACTAGGGTCAACAGGGGATTTCCATAAGAGGTCGTGTGGCTCAATATGAAAATGTAGAAAATCATGGGGATCGCTAAACCGCTCCTTCATCACAGCAACCAACGAGCGATGGTAGAGCTTTATCCCACTGTAGATCTTCATCCCAGGATTTTCCGTTCGACTATGGAAAGGCACACAAATCTCGACATCAGTTACGTGCCAACCCTCATCCGCTGCGTCGATCCATTGATCGTCGTCATTTGTACCAAGATTACCAGCGAGGAGAGCATTAATTTGGTCCCATTTGTTATGACGGACATCGGAGGGAACAAAGTCTGGATCACCCACAATTTTGATGAGTTCCCGGAATGCGGCCTGGGATTTTTGAGCTCCGCCAGACCAGAACCAATTACCGAGATGGAAGGAGCTTAAGTTGGGATAAGGGAAAAATTGATCCGCAGCTTCTGATGAGGAGCTAGGGATAGGGGAAGCCTCCTCAAGTATGATGTTGCGATTGCAGAGATCCGCGAACGTCACATAATCCTCCGCATCATGAGAAGGAAATTCAGATCCAGCATATTGGCGCACCAAACCAAATATGTTTGGCGGTGATCGAATGGGGAGACTGGATTTGATTTGGCAAGAGGCGGTGGGTACCTGAAGAGCTGCTGAGTCAAGCCCTTTCTGGGGCCCCAGCATTATGTCAGGCGGAAGGTTTGGCGAAGGACATGGAAGAACATCACGATAGCGTTCCGGAGGTTGTATGTTTTCCCGACGAGTTCGCCGGATTGCGATGGGCACCATCAAGTCGTCATTGTGTGCTATCTCATCATTGGCAGCAGCGGCTCCAGATGCGGTTGGATATGTTCCAATTTCTTCATCTGGCAGCTCGGTTGAAGAAGTGATCACGACTGCGGTGTTTTCCTGAGTGCAAGAAACTATTACAGAAGGGCAGTGATCAAGAAAACATTGTAAGCTTACCAGCCTATCCGGCGATGTTTGAGCAGGTCCTCTAGTTCCAATCGATCGGGTTCCACACCGCTGCTGCTTCTTTTCCATCCACAACTCCTTGGCTTTTGCACGACCGAAGCTGACACGCCTTTGGCTAATTTTACAAGAGCGAAGATGATTGTTCAATGCATTCGTCTGGACAAATGACTTTCCGCAAAGACAAGTGTTTCGTGGAATAGTAGAGATATCATGAAAGGGGATGCTGAAGGACATGGCTCGGAAAGTGATGGGAGGCGGCGGCAGCCTGAGGGTACAAGTGGCATCCGCAGCACCGCAGATGTCCAACGATGAGGGAAACCGCGGCAGCAGACTCGCCTCGTTTTAGATTCTTCGGAAGCGTGGCATTGACTCGGAAAGCATGACTCATGCCTGAGACTCGGAAGAGCTAGTACTAGAACTTTCTGCCCCCAACCGTTCTCCTCACTAAAGTATGGTAGACTTGTTATTGTCGTGGCTTTCGGCTTGAGAGCGAAGAGAATACAATGACCAGGTCCTTTTACAGTGACGACTAGGGTCGGATGGACGAGATAGAAGGTGCCCACGGCATGAGGCTAACGGCAACCGGAAGATTCAACGCGAATATTTTTGAGAGCTGCATATCGAGGGACCTGAACGACTTGCGATGATACAACTTGATGTCCTTCTGAGTACTTTTTGAGACGTGACTTGACATTTATATGTTCTAAGTTACGACGCTCAACTGCGACGACATATACGACATTACGACGATACCATGAGTACTTCAGGAGGCTTGACTTCACGAGTTAACGTGCCCCAATACCTCCTGTATATCTGTGTTAAGTGACACCTTTTAAGTTACAACGTAACGAGCCCCAAGTGCACAGCCCTCGCGAATTTGCAGAGTACATTCTCATCCATGATATAATCGAAATCAGTGTCTTTCTGCTCTTGGGACGTCAGATAGCTAGAAAGGAAGCTGTGAACCTGCTTCAATCCTTCAACACAGGCTGTGAGAGGAGGCTTCTTGATGGAACCTCCAGCTGCCTGACTACATTTCTCGATATAGCCTAGATACTCCAAGCCACCGTTTGCCCCGCGGTTGATGGTGTGCATGAACACCATCACCTCACTATAGGCGGTGGGTGAGGTGTTCGTCGCGCTACCGTATTGTCTGACAGGCATGGGAGGTAGAGTCCCCTATATTACGAGACCCCGGTTTCTTAAACCCAGATTTTGGCGGCGGGGACCACCAAGACGTCATTACGATCGATCGCATTTAAAAGTATGAACTAATAATATATACTTGTCTCGGAATCCCCTTTTATACCGCCTAGCTATCCTGATATCAAGTTTTGGGTTGCAAATGGGACGTGGGTTACAGGAGTGTTGGGTATGGTGTGCAAAAATGGAAGCAACCAAGCGTAGGTGGGCTGAACGGCTTTTGTAGCAGTGACGGCGGCATGTTATAGTGCAAACGCGACTGCAGTGGAGTCGCCGGAGCAGGCATGTTGGGCGAATAAATACTTTTACTACCTAACCCCGACTTGTCCACAAGAAGTTGTTGACGGAACAGGAAAAAGTACGATCATCCGTTGGAACGAACATGGAGTTGAAGGACGGGTAGTCTCCATTCCTCCTCTGGTGGGGTGTGGGTAGTATATTCGTCTACCTTGGATGGGCGATGGCGACGTGATGATTATCGACCGGGGACATGAAGGGCTGAAGAAACGTAGTTAGTAAGTACGAAAAAATGAGCGAGTACACATAGTAAATACCTGCGAACAGGGCCGTTGAGTCCCCTGAATCGTTGGTCGGAGTTTCCAAGGCCACGTTCCGCGGTGCGTCAAACCACGATACTCGGCGGAGTTGTTCATGGGCTGCGGACGAGATTCATCTGGACAGCAGCTGGGTGCTTTTGTTCAAGCTGTTGCTGCTGTTGAGGGTAGCAGGCCGTTGAGAGGGGCTGCTGGGAGTAATTAACGGTTGAGGGAGGAAAAGCGCGTTGTTGGTGGGGATAGTTGATTGTCGAAGGAAGTGCCTGTCGCTGTCGCTGGCGATGATGAATAACTGATCTGGTGGCGGCCGCTGATACACCGATGACGATGGAGCTGTTCACTGAGAGTACGCAGCCTTGTTGCCCTAGCCGCGCTGCCCCCGGGCGACCTTTGGCAAAGCCAAAAGGCATAAGGGAGAAGGAGACTCGGAGTAATGGAAGAATGTACACCTTTGGCAAAGCCAATAGGCATAAGGGAGAAGAAGACTCGGAGTAGTGGAAGAGAGTACACCTTTGGCAAGGCCTAGACATAACTTGAAGCGAGTTGAAGGAGATCTGAACGGTACAGCCAAGGTACAGCGGCCTCGCACGAGCAGGCTAGCCGCGGAGTTCCGCCCAAGTTCCGCCTTCAAGCTTCAAGCTTCAACTTGTTCTTGAACCGTTTCAACTTAGTTCAACTTGAACGTGACAAGTGTGACACGTGATGCATTGATGACCCAGTGAGCGTCACGACTTACCGCGCCCTCCGACTGGCCTTTGGCTTTGCCATGGATGCCTTCTCCAGCCTTCCTTGCGACCTATACAATCTCCTCTCCAAATCCGCCTCTTCTACGGCTCGCCGAAAGTTCATGAGCCTGGATCTCCCAGAACCCATCTTGTGCGCGCCCTTTGGCTTCGCCATGGGTGCGCTCTCCAGTCTTCCTTTCAACCTTCACTGAAACATACATTCTCCTCTCGGAACCCACCTTACGACCCGCTGTGGCAGTGGCACTGCGTAGCCCATTCTTCCAAGCTCTGACTGCTTCGGTTTCAGTGATGCCACGGTTACATTCCCTGACGGCGATCATGGCCAGCTCCCTTGACTGGGTTTTACCTCGGAAGATCATTGTTTCGTGAATTATTGATTTGGCCATGGCTGGAGAGCGGCTATCAGCGCCTCTTGCGCCAACAATGAGCGGACTTGAACCTTACGTCCATTCAGCTCCAGCTGATATAGAATTTCCATGGGATTAAGATGGACTTTCAGTAGGTATTCCTGCTTTATCACGAATATACTCGCTCATCGATCAGACCTCATGCTCGCAATCGGTTCCAACCGCTTCCTATCGTGGTTCCGGACTATGAAGGATCGAAGGATTGCCGCATAATATAAACGCAATATAAACCGGATTAATGATGGCTCGTTTCCCCTTTCCTTCCTAAATATTACTTCCGAGACATAAACCGATCACAGTCGATTTTAATGACGTGCTGGTGGTTGCGAGCTGTCAACATCCAGGCGCTTGAAACCGAGATATTCCAAATATGGCTTCTATTCTTTACCCTCGTCAAATGGCTTCAAGTTGTTTTATCTTCCGTCTGTTCAACGAGAACGACGGGTACTTACTTCCAGTGTCAGTTTTCCATTCCAGTTAAAACCCGAAACTTGTCAGCAGGTCATTCGTTACGTAGGATGATTTAAGCCAAATCGGCCCCCCAACACTTTGTCGATTGTAAATTAGCCTTTCGCAATTCAAATGTAAATCACTCAAAGAAATAAGTTTTCAGCAATTGTGCCTACAAGTCGCTGCGGACATCGACCGCTTACCTAATCATGCCTTTACCGTCTCTTGAGCACGCTCAGGCGTACAAGATACCGTGACGGATTGAGAAGCTGTTAGATTCAGTGACATAGTAAGTAAGGCTACTAAGTAGCTCTAGCTATGAATCTTGTGCGATGTTATCGTGACACTCCGAGTCTTGTCCATCCATAAGGCTAGTACCATAGCTTCAACCAACACTTCCAAAAACATCGGACTCGTCAATGAGCTCATAGATACTGTAGACAACAATGTCGCCCCTCCCATCCACCAAGGAAACCTCTGGGAGTGCTGGTGCAACAACTCTGAGCCATCTTGCAAGTATCAGCATTTCTTCAGATCTCGGGGAGATATATCCCAGACCAAGGTCATACAAAAATGTCGCTGGTATACAAGGTAAACGGTCAGACGCTGCATACTGGAACGGGATGTAGAGCTGGCGAAGGCGCTTGCAAACCTGAAAAAATGCTATCAACTTCTGGAAAGGTATCGCCGCATCTCCATCCTGAGGAATCAAATGTCCAGGATCAATCCTGATGGAAACGAGGTTTGTCCATGCAGATGCCATTTCCACCGTCAAGTTCCTGCTTGATAGTAGAAGCGGTAGTTGCAACGAGAGGTTCAGCACACGGAGGGAGAAGTTAGCGATGAGTGGCAGAAATGTCTGCAAACTAAAACCAGGATTTTCTGGCATCAAAGGCGGTGGGGCCTCGCGAGGTGATCCGAAATCATTGAAAGAGATGTTCAGATATTGCAAAAACCTCGGAGAACATAGGCGCTGTATTTCATAGGAAACCTGTCGAAGTTCATGTTCAAACGGAAGGATCTCCTCGATGGAGATAATGACATCGGTCACGTTTGCGAGATTCTTGATACACCCTAGAAATGCCACGGCAATTTCTGTTTCACAAGCTGCAAGCTCCAGCCTTGACAGGCGGGAGAGCGTGATTGTATTCTTGAACAATACAGGGAATCCCTTCTGCACGCGGATTTTCAACCTCGTTAAAGATGGAAATTGCCCAACGCAGGATAGTAAGGAGGGAGCGGACAGGGATATACAATCAAGGATGAGATGTTGCAGATGCAGATGGTCCTTGGAATGGATGAAAAGTTCTGGATGCAGTTTAAGATCACCACGAATCTTCAATTTCATGACACGAACGGAAGAGGCACTCTCCAAGAGGTTGGTGATGATACCAAGAACTCGCTGGGGATTAGTGTACTTGGCACCATCATATTGGATAGACAAGAACCGAAGGTTGGATGCTAAAATGTAGGGCAGGAGGTCCTCCACCCAGCCTGGCTGAGAAAGATTAATAACTAGCCGCTTCAAGAGTGGAAAAAGAGGCGTAAAGAGTAGATGCCTCTTAATGGTGTAAAGAATGCTGGAAACAGCCAAGCTTTGCTGCAGGCTGTCGTGTCGGTCATATCGATCGGAATAGGACAAGGTGGTCATGGAGCGCGCATATTGCATAAAAGGCCGCCATGCGGCTAACTCTTGCTCGGAAATCGGCAGGTCTATAGCCTTTAAACAAGGTGCTGAGGGTGAGTATATACTAACTCAATCTTGAAAAAAACAAAACTTACATTTGCGAGGGATCTAGGCTGGCAAGGGGCACAACGAAGAAGAGGGCCAAGGGAAATCTGGTGATACCGCCACAAGATGCGCAGGGCTACCATGGAGAACATCCGAGAGACCAGTGCAACTCGAACTATGTCTCTTGGTCTTCGCAAATAGCAAAAAATGAGATGAAGGAGTTCGGAAACGGTCAAAGCCTTATACATTCAAAAGTTGAAAATCTCTTCTGTGACTAGTTGGACCGGGGAGTATAGTTGCTTTGTTCACGGGTGGTGGCCAGTGATCGTTCAAGTTTATACCGTCGCTTACACTAATGAAAAATGACGCCGCAGTAGCCATTGCTGCGACCAGCAGTGATTCCGCAGGTTCGCGCCGCCGCAGACACGTTTGTGCAAAGTCGGACTGACTGGGCTCCGCCGATGGTTAGTGAGAGTGTCGTGACGAGGTACGTTTCGTTTCTTCACTGTCATTCGATGCCACATTCTTTGCACGCGTTGGGACTTGGACTCTGCACCTGCCACGAATATTATATTACTAGAGTACTTGGAAAATCTGATTGAAAGTCGTCGAGGAAGGAGTACTGCGGAGTAGGAAAGGAGAAAACTTTTCGGGCGAAAGAACTTGGTGTTTGGAAGAAATGGGAAGAGGCTGAGTCACTTCGGCATGGAGCTATGTACGAAGGATGAACGAGTCATGGAAGAATATCGCCTTGCCATCCATATCTTCCACCACATAAGGAAGGCCTTCGCCGTGCTATGGACCTTTTCATCCCATCAAAAGTCAGTTATAATCGAAAGCTCGATTCGAAGGGGTGACTGAGTGATGGGTTGGACTTGTGCTTGGAACCTAATACTTGAAGTTCGTCAATGATATAGATGCTCAAAACTCAGACATCAATGAAAACTTCCCGAAGTTTCGAGAAGCTATGGACGAGACGGTGCACTGGGCGTCCAGCGTTAAAGAATTCCGAAGAGTTCATCGATTTCAGGAGGGTCTATAGAACTTGGCGCATCGCGACTGGAAATGAGGTTAACAAAGCGTACCACATCAAAGTAACGATACCAAGACTATGAAAGATAGGAATCCTCAGCAACGCAACAATAGGGGGACAAATACTAGTAACACCCTGCCTGGTGCCTTTCTGATCATTTCAGCGGGAACGCTTGGAGAAGAGGCGCCACTGAACCCCACCTAATATACTACTTGTCTATTCTTGCGGATTGCGCATGCGAGCGAACAAATCTAGACAAGCAAACATCCTTGGTTGGGAAGAGAATTTGTAGTTCGCCTAGTTGTCCTTGTGTACCAGGAGGAAGTTTATTTGTACCTATTTGTTAATATGACCACCTTGACAATCACAAGTTGCGGAGCAGTGATCCGGAGTTGCTGAACATATCTGGAGGATCGAATCAGTATATCTCCGGCGACATGTGGGAGAAGGCTTTACTGCGCCTTATGGTTGACTACTTTTGGCTAGATGTTCATCTTGAAGTTGATATCGTGATCACTGTACTGTGACTGGCTGGGAACGGCTTGCATAGCTGGGAGACTCGGAACCTGGTGGGTCATATATACTTAGTAAGCATCGATAGATTCAGCTCAGAAACCGGATTGGGTGGCCTTGGGTTGCTTGGTGGCCGCGTGATAGGATCTGAATCTAGTAGGGGTCATCGTGGGATTCCAGATATCAGTGGGTCCTTTCATGAAGAGTCAAGGAGCTGGCCCTCACCCGAGTTTCCATCCCCTCCTATCTCAATGTCTCTGTGCCATGAAAAAGAGTCAGCCAAATCTATATGCCCCCCCTCACGGTGGGAAACTCCTCGACCTTCGTCCGATTTGTCTTCCAATTCGAGTGAGAACACCGACTTGCCCGATGACCCGGCTAGAGCTGAAGGCATTGCGCTCTACTCTTTTCCGGACTCCTGTCGCACCACGAAGGGAAACGGCTATGAATTAAAGCTGTATGGACCCGTTGGGCTACAGCAGGTGAGCTCATGATTTCCGTGAGACTTTGCGGATGGTTGATTTGCAGAGAGCTTTGTTCATTCCCAGGTATCTCTCTCGAAGGGCGGCTGCCAAAGACCTCGAGCAGCTTCTTCATGCCCACCTTCTTCAACTCCAGGCTGAGATCCAGCTTGAAGAAATTGAAACATCTAGAGACACGCAGGAACTGCAGGAAGCCATGTTGAGGGTGTGGAGACAGAAGGCGAACTTGGAAGTGCAACTTCTCAACCGAATCCTTCAAACTTAGGGCAAGTTCTTTGTTATACACTCAGCTGATAGGTTTTGGGACTCACTTTTCTTCAAGGAGCCCTCCGATCGCTGTGACGTTGACTTATGATACCTTGTATTATTACGATGCGGTAGACTCTAGTAGTAGTTTTTGTGCTTTGATTCATAAAGGGTGTTGACTCGGAACTTATCTATCATCGTTGGTGGGTTTGTTGATCAAAGATAATATTCAGTGTATTCGGTCTATACCAACTTGAAAGCTACACAACTCAACTGCACTCACTGCCACCAAATCCTTCAGGATGCTTGGCAAGCATGCGCAAAGAATGACCGACGAGTGACAAGCATGCCGCAAGCACATTGCGCAACGACATGTAAGAATTCTTCGACAGGGACACCGGGTTTCAGAATAGAGTCGATCCCGGTCAGAACTTCTGCCAGAGTAAGCTGGGGCATGATTTGACCGTGGCCTATGATATAATGTTAGGCAGTTTGAATTACTAGAAGCAGCAGTACGCACGGCGTGGACAAGTCTGGCATTTGTGCAAGGAGAAAGCCCTACGGGATGTGAGAAGACCGCAATCACAGAGGGAAGCCAAAGAGAGAAAGTCTTCGACAGGAACGCCAGGCCGAATGGCTGAATCGATTGCACGGATCATTGCAAAGAAAGAAAGTGGTTCACTTCTAGGCGGGTTCCAGACTACAATATTGGCTGCGCGAAGAGCTGTCAAAGTCTCTCAGCGAACGGTCAAATCCTATCATAAGACTTAGGGCTGTTACCAAATTGCCGGCGAATATAAATTCTGGTCTTGGGACTTGGGGGAACTGAATCCTGAGTGCGCATCTGCATCGCGAAGTCGAGATCCGATTCATGAGACTTGGACTCGGAACTCCCGTCGTCTGACAAGTCGATTTCAGTAGGAGCCACAGGGCTCATATCACGCGAAAACAGTTCAGGGTCCCGCATCTCAGAAATATGGAGGATGGGAAGGGGACCATGGTCGCCAGAAACTATGAAGTAGCGTTAAGAGATGGGGATCGGAACTGAAAGGCTAGAAACCGCAAAACTTACTTCTACGAGCGTAATGATTGACGGCCAACCCATCCAGTCGATAAAAAATTGCCAAGGGAACTTGAATGGGCATTTCAGGTAAGATGTCACGGCAGTTTTGCTCCACGTACCAAGGTAAAGGCATTCCTGGGTAGCACAAGCGGCGACCCACTGATTCTTGTATGGGCCGCCAGTCGGCGTATATATCGCGGTCTCTTTGTTTAGACCTAAACCGACATCCTGGAGAGGACAAAAGCATCCAGGGAACTGGAAGTGGTGGGTGGAACGATGTTCATGAAAATCGGAGGGTGCGATCCGCTCCTTGCGGTGGTTCACTGGCCTGGTACGACTTGAGTTCTGAGGAAAGGGTGCACAAGGGAAGCTTGGATTCAAGCCCACGTACCACCTCCATACTTGTAGCTTGGATTGGCTTGCATCGCATTCCATGAGACTCCCTGGCCTTGTTGCAGTGCCGCGGAGGAAGAAAAACAGCTGGATTAAGAAGGGTAGCTCTTCGAGATTGACCGGAGGATCCATAATGATTGTTGATTCGGAAAATCAATGAAATTGCTTGAAATATCAGGGAGTGGGGCCGACGTGGTAGGCGACTGCATTCTGCTGAACCTTTATGGATTTTTGGACTTGAGCAAGGTTTGGAGAGATTATTTAAGCCGCTCAGAGCATCGCGCTAGCCTCAGGCAACAGGGGACTTTGGATTCACGTTATCCCTGAGGACTTTGAATAAGTTGAAGTTGAATTAAACTTACATACCGAGCACTGCGGTCACGGTCGCCTGATGGCTACTATCATGATGCGCCCGATGGCTCGTAACTAGTATGCGGTATCGTGATTTTTGTCTGCTCCAGGCAATTGGCATCCACCACTCAATCTTGACTCAATCTCTGATTTGTAATACAGCGGTGATCTGAGATTGATTGTGTCCAAATATCAAGATCACTTGGATAGTATGCACCGGAGATCTGCGATATGAAAGTTTCGAATGCTGTGGTTGACAAGTGACTAGACTAGTCGTGATAACGAATATGATCATAACTTGAAGATCCTTGAGCCTGACTCGGAGTGTATACACCAACAGCCCATTCTTCGTGTCGACCCACGTTGATGACCCGACAACAGGAGTGGGTCTTTACTAGGTGGAGAAGGTTTGACTTTGACGGGGAGAGGCTGACAGAGAGGTTTGTTCAATGGTATTACCTTCGCGTGGGAATACTGGGATTATTCCAGATTATTCCGACTATTTTACCGGATCTTTTACAACTGGCAGGGCGGAGGCATCAAGATCTCTGTGATCTATGATATCTACGATACGGAGTAAGTACTTCGGATTCCGGAATACTTCCGTAACTCTTATTATGTAAGTAGTATACTCCTTGACGTAGTACTCACACAGAGCGCTTGAATCTTGAATGGGTACACGAATCGTTGAGCGCGAAGTAAATAAGTGGGAATAAGAGCGCGGATTGGGCACAGGGTTTGCGACACTCTGGGCACTTGGTATGCCAGTGTATTTTCGAGTCCAAGTCCCCCAGTTGCCCCACAAGTTTGCCCCCATGGTTTGGTCCAAGTTTGGTCAATGGAGCATGGTAATCATCTCACACACCTTGATATTCAAATCCAAAGTGAAAGCCAGAGGGAACCTGCCAAGCGTTGAGAAACAGGCCTTGCGCAGGCTGTCATTTGGTCTGTCGAGGCTGGCTCTTGGGTCACCCTTAGTCTTTAGTAGATGTAGACGGATTTCCTATTGTAACAATTGTATCCGAAGATCCATGACAGATTAGGCAACGCAGATCTGTCGATGGTGATCTTGGCGGATCATCTGGATTATGTAAGTAATTACTAATCAGTATCTCACACACGCTGACCAAAAATCACACTTTCCCATTCTACTCTGGAACAGGAATAGGGACGGAACAAGCCGAAGGTCGTGGGAAGTCGATTATCGATTGGGAGTCGAGCTCAGATCTCAGCTCTACCGCGAGCGAAGCGAATCTGAATCAGCGATAGTGTTGCCAGCGCGCCTGGGCCCCGCGGCGGTTTTCATGAACTTCGTGCCACGGGACACCGTTGGGCCACCGCCAACTCTCTCCACACAGTTCAACAAACAATTAATTAAACATTTTCCTTCTTCTGAATACTGGTATAGCGAGTAGCCAGCGGTGGTTGCCTCTAACCGTAATGTCACAGAACTCTTAGTCTCGTACCAAGACTGCATACAAGGGGATTGGTTGAGCCAGACTGAACTCTGATTAAATGGAGTGCATACACAGAATAACTATTGAGTCAAGGTAGTCACGATATGGAACAGGAGCATTGAGAGAATGTGATGATGATGCCGCCTGAGAGCGTCTTCGTCTTGGCTCCTGCAATTCTTTGAAGTAAGTATCCTGTGCGTTATCAGTGTGAAGGGTGATGAAAAACTTGCCTCGCCTCATGCGACTGGCTGAAGGATGCGGTCAAGGATTTGTAACTCAAGCATCGCCCTGTCTCTCCACACCCTCAGCATGGATTCCTGCAGTTCCTGGTTATTGTCATCTGACTCATGAGATTGCACAATTTCTTCGGCTTTCTGTAGCGCGATGTTGGCAGAGATGAGCTTATTGAGATCTTCGGTGGTTGCCTTCTGAGAAAAATAGTCGGGAATCATTAAACGTCTCTGGGATCATCATCTGTAAAGTTGCAAGAGAAACAGAAAAACGTAGACACACCTGTTGTAACCGCGTCTGTCCATACACCTTCATATCATACCCCTTACTGCGAAAGGTCCTGTAAGTGAGTCTGCTACCAGAACCGGGGGGCAATTTTCCATCAAGGCTACGACGGATGGGCGTGCAAAGTGCCTGCAAGTTTGGCAGGCCCATCTGGCGCCTTTCGCCATCACTGCTTATGGGGGCGTTGGGCCACTTCGAGTCCAAGTTACTAGAGGAGAAAGAGTGAGACCTATGAGATAGAGTGGAGGATGAGGAAGAGTCGGATGTGTATTCAGATGGGGGGGGAGGAGAGGGGACCACAAGGTCAAGGGAGGGGGCCATAAGGTCAAGAGGAGCCTGAAGGCATCTAAAGTCGGGATTAGGACTACGACCGTAGTTTGAAGGACGTTTAAAAGAGATCATCGTTAAGCTCAATGCACAACCCCGGACTGGGTGCTACTGCTGACTCTGTGACCGTACTTAAGTATGCCCGGGGGCAGTACCCGTGGTCTGACAGTGTGGCATGCGTGGACTCTATCTATCACATGCCATCACGAAGTTCGTCCAAATCCACTTGTGCACGGACCCCCCATCCAACGAAGACCTGATCAATAACAACGACTACTATAACAATCTACATCTTTCGCAGAGTCAGCTCAATCAGGTTCCGGAGGATGTAGAGACCGAATTAAGAGGTCAAACGACAGCCGTCTCATGGAGGTCTAACAGATGGTCACAAGTTCGATATATACATATACGCTGTATATACGCACTAGCCATTCCCACCATACCAATCACCATCACCAACGCTTGCTCCCCGAGGAAAGACACTCTCTTCCCACAGACCCAGACAGGTATCCATGCCTCCTAACTTGCTCTCGCGACGGGCTCTGTTTCACTTTTGAGCTCTTCGGATGCGAAAGGGTACTGTTCTCAGATTGCTGGTGATGAGAATGCGCAAAGGAGGAGGGCTCAGGAGGCACAGGGACGAGGAGGACCAAAGCACTTCCACCAGTTGCACAAAGAGTCGGATTTTGGGTGACTATACCCTTAGCAAAACCCTAGGTGCGGAGAGTCAAGTTGGCCACTCAGAATGTCACCGGAGAGAAGGTGCGTCATTGGTATTGGAAGGCGTACTTAGTACTATTCTGGATTTTTTATGCAGCTCGTCGTCAAACCCCTTCCATGGGTTTACCCCGCACCTAAAGTCGCTAATGGAAACAACAACGCAGGCTCCTCGGCAGCACGACAGGCCTCGCAGAATGTTTCAAAAGAGATCAGAACCCTCCGGGCAGCGGGGCTTTCCATGCTCCTCTAAGTACCACCTGGCATGCGAGAGATTATAGTTCACCGTCATCACTACTACATGTGGTTCTTTGAATACATCAATGGAGGATGCTCAACTACATAATCAGCCACGGTCGGATGCGGGAACGCGTTGCGAGGAAGTTTGCCCGTTATGTAAATTTGGAGTGGAACATAATATATTGGAATATTGCCGCCTGAGTCGTCCACCGAGGTGGCATGTATATCGTGCTGCCATATCGCAGATCTCCGAGGGCGCGTGGAATCTTAACACAAACAATCTCAGATCGCCGTCTCTCAAATCGGTGGTGGGTGTTCAAACCAACGTCACTCAGAATTACGATGGGCCCGCCGCAGTGCTCGTAGTATTAAGTTCAATTCACTCAGGCTGACTCCAACTTATTGGCCCTCAGGGATAAGGTGAATTTGAAGTTCCCTGTAGGTTAACGTGATGCTAGCGGTTTGAATACTCTCTACAAACCTGCCCAAGTTCAAAATCTATAAAGGCTCAGCCAAATGCAATCATCTACCAGTACCAGTGTTGGCCCCATTCCAAGTAGGCAATCATTATGGATCCTCCAGCCAATGTCGAAGAGCTACCCTTCATAATTCAGCTATTCTTCTCCCTCCGCGGCAGTGCAACGAGACCAGGCGCGCTAATGGAATGTGATGCAAGCCAATCCAAGCTACAAGTATGGAGGTGGTACGTGGGCTCGACTCCAAGCTTTCTTTGAATGCCCTCTCAGATATTCGTACCAGGCCGGTGAACCGCCGCAGGGAGCGGATCGCACCCTCTGATCTTAATGGCCATCGTGCCACTCACCACTTCCAGTTCCCTGGGTGCTTTTGTCCTCTCCAGAGTGGCGGTGGCGGTTTAGGTTTGAACAAAGAAACCGCAATCTACATGCCAACTGGCGGCCCATACAAGAATCAGTGGGTCGCCGCCTGCGCTACCCAAGAATGCCTTTACCGTGGTACGTGGAGTGAAACTGCTTTGATATCTTACCTGAACTGCAACCTTGCCGATTCAAGTCCCTTTGGCAATTTTTTACAGGCTGGACGGGTTGGCCATCAATCATTACTCTCCCAGAAGTAAGTTTTGCGATACACAGATTTCTACCCTTCCAATCCCCAACCCTTACTACTATTTTATCATAGTTGTTGGTGACCATGGTCCCCTCCCCATCTTTCATATCTCTGAGATGCGGGGACCTGTGCTATCTTTGCGCGATATGAGCCCCGTGGCTCCAACTGAAATCGACTTGTCAGACGACGGGAGTTCCGAGTCCGAGTCTCATGAATCGGACTTGGACTCGGCGATGCACACACAGGATTTCGAGTGGCCAGTTCCTCCAAGTCCTAAGAACAGCATTCATATCCGCCGGCCACTTGGTAACAGCCATGTCTTTCGATAGGATGATCGCTTGCTGAGGGATTTCAGCAGCTCTTCGTGCAGCCAATATTGTAGTCTGGAACCAACCTAGAAGTGAACCGCTTACTTTCTTTGCAATGATCCGTGCAATCGATTCAGCCATTCGACCTGGTGTTCCCGTCAAAGACTTTCTCTCTTTAGCTTCCCTTTGCGAGTGTGGTCTTCTCACCTCCCGTAGGGCCTTTCGCGTCCACGAATGTCAGACTCGTCCCCACAGTGCGTACTGTTACTTTTTCTAGAACTGGATTTCAAGTAACCGCCTAATATTATAGGTCATCGTCGAATCGTGCCCCAGCTAACTGTGGCAGAAGTTCTGACCAGGGTAGACTCTGTTCTAAATCCCGGTGTCCCGATTGAAGAATTTTTACATGTCGTTGCTCAATGTGCTTGCGGCATGCTTGTCACGCGCCGGTTGTTTTTTGTGCATGCATGCCAAGCATTCTGAAGGATTTGGCAGGCAGTGTCGCGTAGCTTGGTTCAATATTTCTATTCGTTATACAGTTTTCATATATCCTGAGTAACATTGACCTCTTATGACATACCGACCAATGATGGTGGTCAAGTTCAAGACCCCTTATCAAAGCATACAAAAAACTACACTGGCTGCGCATAGTACAGGATGTAAGCAAGACAACTTTAAATCATGAGGAAGGGCTTAGCCTTACTGCGACTTTTCACTGGCATCTTTTTTCGGGCGTACCTTCTGCCCGCACTCCGATCTAAGTGAGACAATATGACGCACCAGCGTCAAAAGTTCCCCGGAGTGTAGCAGAGAAAGAACCTCACGACGTCATTGAATTCAATGCAGTACCATAGTCATTTTCGCGTGGCACATCGCGCATAACAGCATAGAGTAGATGAATATGTAATTGTGTTTAGGCGCTCTAGTTGTGTGTCCGAGTTGGAAGCCAGTTGTTCCTCGAGCCTCATTGGGACCGCTGGGCAAGAATATATCTATTCTCTCTATCCTCTACCACTGCATGATCTATCAGCATAATTTACCACATCTAACAGCATAACTCTCTAACGAACTGCCGCGCAGTTCGCTCCTCGCACGCGAGTGGATCTGTCTGAAGCTGCTCGGGCTAGTGCGAACGACCTAGAAGACGATCCGAAGCGGGGCGTCACAGTGGTGATGCCGCCGCCCAAGAAACATTCTCTGAAGCACGGCCCATGGGAAGCGCCGACCCGAAACGTAGGGACAGCCAAAGGGCACCCAAGCCAAAGGAGAGACGGAAGGACGGTAGATAGGTAGAGCCGCTGCCAGGGCATACCAGCAAGCCATAGGAGAGGCGGATTTGGAGAGGATGTACTATAGACTGGAGAAGGCAAGGACTCGGAGAAGGCACCCATGGCAAAGCCAAAGGGCGCCATATAAGATAGCCCAAGATCCATCTGAGACGGTCAAATTAGCGTCGGTGACATTGAAAATGGACCCGGGAGTCCTGCTGACGAAATGATGCATCACTCGGTTACTTAATAAGTTCAACATCATTTTCTCACAGGTTGGGGGCACAATCATGATCGTCCCCCAGCTACTACTACTAGGTACTCCGAGTCCCAGTCAATCTAGTTCAAGTTTGCGCGTCTCGGCTTAGCCGAACGGGCTATCCATCCGACTACCACTAAGCAGGCCTCAGGCCGAGTCACTGTTCTTTCTCCCCACAAATACCTTGTCTAGGCTCTGCACGTCAAGGAGTCGGCTTTGCCGAACGCGCGTGAAGTGGCTTTCCTCACCTTCCGCCGCCACACTCATGCCCTTCTGTTTTGTGCCTGTTTGATCTTCTACCAGAACGCTCAGGCTGCCTCTCTTGCGTCTCGGCTTTGCCGAACGTGAATTCTGAATCTCTCAAATTCGCCACTATCCTTCAAGAATCACATCTCATTTTGCTGTGCGCTGTCCTCACACCCTCTCGGCTTCCAAGATTTTGCCTTCTCTCTCTGCGCGTTTTGGATTCACCGAACGTGACTCGGTCCTTGCACTCCTATCGCTCAGCCTCTCCTCAGCATAGGCTTCGTTTCAGCTTTGACAAACGTGATTCTCACTGTTTGCCGAACGTTCTTTCGCCCTTCCTCCTCTTTCCACGCCTCGCTGGAACTCTGACCAAAGTCTATCTTGTTGTGACTTCGGGGATTAATGCCGTAAGTACACCTTTTGTAGTAAAGCGTCGTAATTTGGAACTAATGACTCATGCAAATAGTAAACGTGAGTTCTGGAGAGGTCTTTTCTGGCAGGAGGGCGGATTATCTCAGCAGAAAGTGCCATCGTGCGGTAACGAGTCCATGTAAGCGATTTCGCTGAATGTCATCGACAAAAACATCTGACATTTGAGCCAGGCCGCTTGACCGCTCCCGTGGTCGACTGATTCACGAGTCTGGTGTGGATTACTATTCGCCAAATTGCTCACGGACGATTCAAGTCCCAAAAGAAACAAACCCCAATGAGCAGCAGTTTCCTCCGAATTTGGCATGGAAAGACTTTACAGAGCCAAGATGGTGGACAGACACTCATGGCTGGCTTGCCTTTGTTCCTCGCGAACCAATGTTAGTCGGTTTTCCTTTCGATCGCCTATCTCGCCTGCCACAAGCTTTTACCCCAACACCGGAAGGAAAATATGAACTGCCGCGAGAAATTGTTGCTTCTTGGGAAAGGCTAGATCTCGATTTGCTCCATGCCACCCGAAGACTTCTTGGAGCTTACCAAATTGCAGCAATCGCTCCATATTCTCCTTCGGCCAAGGGTTATCGGGCATCTTACAAGCAACCCCATTCTATCAAAAAGGCTGCAATGCTTTCCCGAGATTGCTTTTTTGTTTGGATGGGTTTGCTATCCTATGGGGTGGCTCGGGCGGAGTTCTCGCTGGAGGCACAGAAAGATTATCGACAGTGGTGCGAAAACCAAGGAAAAGATGCCATTCTTGGAGTGCCTGACTGGCGATCATTTCTGAAAGAGCGAAGCCTTGATTACCCGAATGAAATTTTCTTTGATTCTACCTGGGTGGATGCTATCTCCGCTTCGACTGTCTGTGACTTTTCAATTAATAATCCTCGGGCGGGGATCTTCCTTAAGCTACCCAATCAGGGACCTTCTTTTTATCAGCCTTCGATTCGATGGTTCTGTCAGAGAGGAATACCAGTCTGGTATAGATGGGGTCCTGAAGAAGATGAATTAGCCGAGCAAAATGAATTCTATCGAGGTCTGGCACTGTTAACAGACAATCTGGGAATTCCATCCCTGTTTACCAACCCGCGACATGCCATTACGCTCGCCTCTGCGAACACTGCACCTGCAAGATCATCTGGTTCAAAGCCATGGCAGCAGTACTTTGCGGACCTTGAAAAAGAAAACCTTGAACGAGCAAAGGTGGAGTCTCCTAAAGACCGTGAGAGGCGACTGAACCGTGAGCGCCAACCACCAACCCGGAGTGCCAGGGTGATTGAGTGGGTTGAGCCTATAAATGGCGGAAACCAGCTCATTCCTGAGGAAAAAACAGTGGCAGAGCGGGTCGACATTCTGGAGATGTATGAAGATAAGTACAAACGATATGATTCATTCAACAATACATGGCATATTTGCGAAGAGTTTGGAGCCAACCAACCATCTACCTGGCAGGAGCTGGAGGACTACCGAATGTTCCTTGGTCACTACACCAACGAGGAGAGAGAGGAGATGGAACAGATGAGGTTAACTGATGAACCCCCTCCTATTTTAGATACTCCCCTCCGTGCCCCCCACTCCACCCATAAATCCTGAGCCCTACGTTGCGACAGATCTTCCTTCTGATCATTTTCAAGCTGTCAGCAACCTGCGTCAGACATCATCGCTGGAGCTGTTGCAAATTGGCGTCTGTGAGACGTTGTACGAACATTATGGATTGATTCGTCCAGTTCCCATCCCACAATCACTCTCTGAATTCTCTTGGAAAGATGGACAACGCTTTGGCCGCTGGCTTGGTTTGGACACAGATGGCAAGCCAGAAGTGCGCCGACAATTTGAGGCGTCCGATATAGCCCGGCTTTCTTTGCAGTTTGTCAAACTATTGATAGCTGGCAAATGTCCGTCAAGTGACTGTTGGGATCTTTCACCAAGTAACCGCGAGTCTTTGGTGTTTTCCAAGCGACTAAAATCGGTGTCATTATCTTTTTTCAAACAGATTCAAGCCAACCTCTGTTGGATCTTTGTTTTCGACTTCAAGAGTGAGGCGACCGTGCATTGGAAGCTCGCGGTGACTACTGCTGCTGATGTACTTCTGGTCTGTAGACTTGATCCACGTTATAGGGAGGCTGATATTGCCCGCTTTTTGATAGAGCGTGGGGTGCCTTTCCATACACTGGTATGGAAAAGTATCATGTCTAACCCCCCCCCTAGTATGCCCATCATCTATCAGCTCCCTTCTCATGGCCCCCATTATGTTTTTAGCAAGCGCGATTTTGATAGTTACATTCATCTCTGAGAGATTCTGGTCTGTCAACCACGTATCCGTGCAGCTTTGCTTTGAGGGGGGATGTCATGGCGGTTAGTCATCAGCTTTATGCATGCTGACAAGGTATTGGGTGGTCCTGTGGGTGGTGGACCCATGCGAGAAGTTTATCACCCTTCTGGGAATATGCTTGTCGACGATGACCTAACAGATTTGGAACTGGACTTGTTGTGCGGTACATACATTTGTCACACAGGTACGTAATTATACATCGAGCAGGTTAGCCACTGAAGATCATTCTCCTTTCCAGGAGAAGGTCCCGTCGTAGCATACAAATCTTGGTTTCCACCAGCTATTTTGTTTGAGAAAAGAGACTGCGCGGAAAACTATGGCCGATGGACTGAGTACCGGGAAGCCAGATATAGGCGTCGTCTATTGGATATAGAGCAACATGGAGCTCAACCAGAGCCTGTGTCAAGATGGCGGGACCAGTTGAGGGGTTTCAAAGAGACGCGCTCCCTCAATCAAAACATGGAAAAGCTGGCACTTAACTTCTTGAACGAGCATCATCCTGACATGGCACACCTCACATGTGAATGGATTTCAAAAGAAAAATAAGGGCACTGAGTACCGTATTTTACATCTTGCAATTGATTTGTTTTCGTGGCCTTTATTGATTTGATTTGTTTTAAGTTCTTCAAGCCAATTTAGAGACGTGCAGGCAGGCTCAATTGATCCAAGGCAAGTTACTTGGCATCTCCTCAAGCTGACAAGAGTTCATTAATTAGTTCCTCGGGGTTTGCCGGTCTGAAAGATTGCATTTGCGAGTGCCGTTCGCACTGTGTCAAATTTAGAGGCTTCAATCGCAATTCAAAGGCATCTATGCTTTGAAGTATCCGAGATGTCCATAACCGAGTCGTCATCATTCACATGGAGGTTCGTATGAGCGGTTGGACTATGAGTAGAGTCGAGGCTGGTGCCCGTGCGGGAATGACCGCTCCAGACGACGTCAGTGATTGCGACAACATCTTGCGGAGATGTGCCCCATGTAACGGTAGGAATGATATCGGATGTGGGGAAGTCAACTTCAACGTCAAACTTGGCGCCTTTGTCAGTTTTGAGAGATCTCCCACTCATCTCCTTTTGGAGAAAGGGGGCGATTGCGAAGACAATTGAAGGTGGCTCTGGCACCGATCCGAGTAAACTGTGAAGTTTTTGCCCTGAAATGTAGCGAGGAACGAGTGAAGGATCAGGGCGCGGGTGTGTGACAGTGTAGGTAGAAATCACTCACTCTTTTTCAACCACAACAGTCACCGGCCCTCTTCCTTTTCCCCACCCACCACTTCTTGAAAACTCTATCGGCATCAGCGTGACAAGCTCCCGCTCGCTTCCCGTGCGGGAGGACTCCTCTGCTCCAGAGCAAGACACGGAGTGCGCGGGTGAGTTTATCCCACCCACCCTCGCGTTTTGCCCTCAGGTTGGATCATTCTGTCGCTCGCTACGCAAATCGTATCTCTCTGTGTGTGCAAGGACATTACTGCTACTCTACCTACCTAATTACTTGTCTCCCCACGCACGTAATGTGCTTGCCCATACCCTAGAGGCCCTCAGCCTGATACAAAGACGCGCTTCGATAGAGCGTTCCTTGGCGTATATGGGACTCACAGCCAATACATCCATGGTGGAGATCAAGATTGACAAGGTCTTCATTAGTTTATCTATGAACAGTCATACAGAAGATCTTCGATCTACCGCCAAAAGTGTACTTGCTGCTAGGCCTGATGCTGGTGTCGTTGCCATAATTGTTCCAGGACCTGGCCTTATCAAGTAACACGCAGAGGCGGCACCTCTCCGCCATCTAACGGGGCAGCCTATCGTCGAGCTCCTCATACTGGTTGCTGCAACTGTCTGACTTAAGCCAACGTTCATCAGTATCCTAAGCATTCGCGCATGGCAAGATTGCACGGCGGGAGAGGGTGCAGGAATTGAAAACCTTTGGAAGGACTCGATTTTTTGAGCTAAGGACCCACTTTGGTGGCTCGACTTCCACAATCAACGCATCCCGGGCCGCGTCCACTTCGGCCACATCCAATCCTCCTACCAGCGTCCCATCCAAGTCCCATCTCCCCCTCGCTATCATCAAACACCCACCTCCTTTGCCCGCTTTCCCTCAGACTGACGAGTCGGACGCATTTACTGCGCTTCATGCTCAACATCCTCGGATTAAGCTCCTCATTTGCACTTGCACCTGCTACGTCACTTGCTCCATAAACTTCATATGGAACTTACACCTGGACCGTCACGCGTCACCTTTGTGACTTTCGTTGTGGATTTCCAAAGCAAAATACTCTGCTCTTGAACTTCAAGTTCTGCAGGTTTCGTAATAGCAAGTCAGAAGTTAAGGCCTTAAGATCCTAATCCGCTCTTGTTGGAAACCCTCGGCATTGATTGGCACACCCAGATATCATATGGCTGAAGCCGAAAGAGTGCAAACACTGACAAGTGTGCATGCCTCAGCTGGTCACCTTACTACGGAATGGATGACCCGGTGCTTGAAGCTATCTATCATAATGTCTTCCTCGGTCACTGGCAACTCTCGACTTTTTGACTCTTTAGTAGCCTCTTTTTCCCTTTACGATTGTTGCGGTATTATTCAGCGCCCCGGATAGCCTCGCAAGTTGAAGAATCCCGATGAACAATGTTCGTGTGCTCTCTTTCTTATCATCATCTTTAACTTCAACAATTAAAATTTTAATTTACTTAGGCTGTGCTAGCGGCGGTTCTGAACTGCTCTTCCCGGCGGTTTCGAACTGGAAACTGACAGGAGGCTTGACTCGGAGTCGACGCAGCAAACTTTTGGTCGCCGCAGTACGTCAGATAAACAAGATGTCGCTCATTGCGGTCGGAGAGACGTCACCCTTTCCTCAAGTACCTTCATCCTCTTCTTTTGCCAATATCAGTCTCAAATGTTCCCCCGACCGGATCGTCAATTCAAAACTAGAAGTCCACATATCATCGTTTATGATCTTCACACACCTACTGTACAAGCCACCATCATTGTCAGTTATGCCAACATCGGAAGAGCCTATGGAGTACGTGAACATTGTTCCGTCAATATAACAGGTGGAGAGGTAACGAAAACTACCGTCCCCACCTATTGTAGTATCGAATTTCAAATGGCATGACGCTCGAAGAAATCAATCAATGGGTTCCCTTGCCACGATCTCCTCAGAGCTTATCTGGACCACCCTCCCCGAGCTCAATGTGATATTGCTACTCGTTCTCTCAGTTTCGATTTCGCTGATAATAGTTAATATAGCTTTGCCGTTTTGTCTGGAATTGTGGCAGACAGTCCCGAACAAAGTATTGGTCAAGCGGAATTAACCAGTCGCGTCCACTGACTCAGTCTCCATTGAATGAGATTTGTTCGAACCGCAGTTGTTCCTGCGCAGCATTTTGATTGATTTGAACCGTAGTATGTAGTCATTTTGTGTCATTGAATCTCTATAAAGTGCGAAGTGGTGCGCAGGGGTTTTAAGTTCCCACCTTTGCACAATTCGGCCCCTCACAATGTCTACCCCAGCAACCTTTTCAGCAGAAGATCGGCCATACGCTCTCCAATTGGGTCCTAGAAAGAAACCGTCAGCCCGCCCTATCTCAATTTGAACAAGTGAGAATTTTGAATATGGTTTCCTCTAGGAGTGGGGCAGACCCCCTTGTTCATTATGGACGCCATTTTGGACGAACGGTCCACGCCTTGTGCAATATCCACGCATTAATCAATAACGGAATACTAAGACTAGGAGAGTTGGCGGATCGGCCAGAGGAATCTTTCAGCGCCGAGTAATGACATTCATCTCGGTCCATTGAATCCGCATTCACTCTGCGATACAGGGAGAGGCACGAGCACAAGATATTTTTGACTTTGCTCGAGTCAGTTCCAGGTCTGGAGGAGCGATTGGTAGCTGGTTCCGACGACGAAGCCGGAATTGTGGCAGAGCTTGTAAGTTGCGTGTCCATTCAATCGGCCTTCTTCCTTGATCAATAATGATGTTCTAAAGCTTCGAAAGGGTGCCTCGGGTGCTCGAGGCGATGATACCAAGAGCCTGAAGGGTGCTGTTCTAGAGTGGATCGCTCCAAAAGGTCAAGCTCTCAGTCCTCCCCTTTCACGCAATGTGAAAGTTGACCGCGGGTTTAACCACGAGCTCACAGGGGCGCTTTTGTGCCCTACAAACTTGAACTGGTCTGATCTCGAGTGAGCGTTTCTTTTTCGAGTGAATGGCCCCCGCTCTGCTTATATCCCTTCCATCTGAGAACAAAGAATAAACTGCAAAGCGGAGAATTAGTTGTCAGCGGAGATCAATGGCCAATCTTCCTATATGCCGGCTATAAATACGACCCCACAGATCCCTGGAGAGGTCTACTTCGTAGCTCCATTTTGACACGCGTATGCTTCTTACTCTTTCCAAATTTGGCGTTCACTTATTCGTTGTTTTGAAGGCATTTAAATACGTATTTACCTCACCCAGTTCTGTCGACAAAGAACCGAAGGCTACGAGGTCTGGAAATGCCCGTCTTCATGGCATGAGGTGTGTCACTCCTGGATCGATTGCCTATATTGCTACTCAGGTCTGTTCAAATCAAATATACCAACTCTTTTCAATTACAATATCAATAAACTTGACTCACAGGTGCGCTTTGCCCTGACATCATCTCCGGTCTTTTCTCGCACGGACACCGTGACGGACACCGAAAGATTTTACACCAGCATTCTCGAATTGCTTGAAGACCCTTACGAAAGTCAGGAAGTTCATGATCTCTATGTTTGGTGGAACAGGTACGTACTACTTCAAGTTCACAGTACAGATGGGCTCATCGGAGTGCATAGGCAGGTGTTCCCTTCCTACTCCGCTGCGCAGCGGACCATTGCAAAAGACAGCGCGTTGGCTAAAATCAGGGAGAAGCGCGCCATGATGCGAGCTCGAATTGAGGCTGGTCCCTCATCAAATACTTAAACAGCCGAGGCTTATGCCCCTGCCCTTTTCATGGACTTGTACATAACTTTGTAAGGCATTACAAACTGTAAAAATGTTATATCGTAGTTTGCAAGTTGCACCTCGCAGTCAGGGTTTAAAATTTTGGCAAAAGCCTATTGAAAGGTTGCAGTGATACATAATTTCAGCAATCATTGGGAAGGAATTACAAGCACCATATAGATTATCTGAGCTGGTCTCGCTTGGTGTCTGTTTTTTTTTGCTTCTCAATGAAAGCCTGTAGCGATTCCGATTAGGTTAAGGATGATCAAAGCGAGCACAGGACGATGTTAACCGAAGATCTGTGGCAAAAATTTCGGCGATTGGGTGGTTCATAATGCCAATAACGAATTACCTGGGCCTGAATAAGGCCGGAAATCAGATTTCTCTCTTGAGGCAGTTGCCATACAATACACCTTTCTCCGATTACTGCGGTGGCTGTCGTCTCTCATCACTGCGGATATATCAATCGGCTAGATATAAAACCCATACATGATAGGCCAAGAATATTTATTACTGTGCAAGACGAGCATTTGCTGCAGATTTTGCGGCAAGCAAAACAATATTTTGACAGCTTTGCACATGCGATTATTCTGAGGTAAATAACAAATAAGTACGCCGTTTGACATTCAGTTACAAATCTTCTGGTAGTTATCCAATTAATTATCTGAGCTTGCCATAATTATTAGAATTGTGAAGGCTGCCATCCGTGACGTTCAATATAAAGCCTTAGATGGGATTACTCCTTCGATGAAGAATTGCCGTGGAGAGCCGCAAATATGCTGTTTGACATTCAGCTACAGATCTTCCGGTTATTATCTGGGCTTACCATAATTATTCAAATTGTGAAGGCTGCCACCCGTGACGTTCAATATAAAGCCTGATAGGAAGCTGGGGATTACTCTTTCGACGAAGAATTGCCGTGGAGAGCCGCAAATATGCCGTTTGACATTCAGCTACAGATCTTCCGGTCATTATCTGAGCTTGCCATCATTATTCGAATCGTGAAGGCTGCCACCTGTGACGTTCAATGTAAAGTCTTAGATTAGAAGATGGGTATTACTTATTCGATGAAGATCTGCCCTGGAGAGCCGGAATTATGGC